CTATCTTCACTCTCGTCAAACAAATCAACCATACCTATCATCAAACACTCATCAAGGCCAGTAAAACAAGCAATCGTCAAACCACGCCTAATCGAGACGTACACAATTACACATTTCCACTCCCATGTCACCAACCAACTCCATACACACAAACATACCAGAAGAACAACAACACCAACAGAGAACAGCAACGTATTCGTCGACATTATGACGCATTCATCAACACTCTGACATAAACAGAAATTAAAACACGAAGACAAACAACGTACACTGAATTCTCCAACAAAATATCGACGCAATATCAACACTAACAAATTGAAGGCACACTCAAACCTACAATATCACCAACAAAAACACGCCTCCACAACCGAATACGAAACATCACAACAACTAACAACAGACATACTCCCTACCTACACGCAGACATTCCAACTACTCTCCATCTGTGCCACAAGACTCATTATGCAAAACATCTGTCAGTGACCATGGTTACCGATGTGTCAGACACAAAACACATCGGTCGTAGATGCACTACTCTCTATGTAGCCTGTCTACACATGTCACCGCGATCTACACAACCGCTGTCACAAATACAGGCAGTGTATACAATATGTGTACAACTGACACACATCACTAACTATGTCCACATAAATGATGCATTCCAGTCAACCAACTTCTCGCGCTATCTTCACTCTCGTCAAACAATTCAAACACTCATGAAGGCCAATAAAACAAGCAATCGTAAAACCACGCCTAATCAAAACGTACACAATTACACATTTCCACTCCCATGTCACCAACCAACTCCATACACACAAACATACCAGAATAACAACAACACCAGAAAGAACAACAACGTCTTCGTCGACATTATGACGGATTCATCAACACTCTGACATAAACAGAAATTAAAACACGAAGACAAACAACGTACACTGAATTCTCCAACAAAATATCGACGCAATATCAACACTAACAAATTGAAGGCACACTCAAACCTACAATATCACCAACAAAAACACGCCTGCACAACCGAATACGAAACATCACAACAACTAACAACAGACGTACTCCCTACCTACACACACCACACACACAGACATTCCAACTACTCTCCATCTGTGCCACAATACATATTACGCAAAACATCTGTCAGTGACCATGGTTACCGATGTGTCAGACACAAAACACATCGGTCGTAGATGCACTACTCTCTATGTAGCCTGTCTACACATGTCACCGAGATCTACACAACCGCTGTCACAAATACAGGCAGTCTATACAATATGTATACAACCGACACACATCACTTCCTATGTCCACATAAATGATGCATTCCAGGCAACCAACTTCTCGCGCTATCTTCACTCTCGTCAAACAAATCAACCATACCTATCATCAAACACTCACCAAGGCCAATAAAACAAGCAATCGTCAAACCACGCCTAATCAAAACGTACACAATTACACATTTCCACTCCCATGTCACCAACCAACTCCATACACACAAACATACCAGAAGAACAACAACAACAACAGCAAAGAACAGCAACGTCTTCGTCGACATTATGACGCATTCATCAACACTCTGACATAAACAGAAATTAAAACACGAAGACAAACAACGTACACTGAATTCTCCAACAAAATATCGACGCAATATCAACACTAACAAATTGAAGGCACACTCAAACCTACAATATCACCAACAAAAACACGCCTCCACAACCGAATACGAAACATCACAACAACTAACAACAGACATACTCCCTACCTACACGCAGACATTCCAACTACTCTCCATCTGTGCCACAAGACTCATTATGCAAAACATCTGTCAGTGACCATGGTTACCGATGTGTCAGACACAAAACACATCGGTCGTAGATGCACTACTCTCTATGTAGCCTGTCTACACCTGTCACCGCGATCTACACAACCGCTGTCACAAATACAGGCAGTGTATACAATATGTGTACAACCGACACACATCACCTACAATGGCCACACAAGCCAGCACACCCCCACTGCCAACACTCTAGAAACAAATCAACCAAACGTACAATAACACAGTCACAACGAACAACAAACACAACGAATCGCATCACAAAATCCGGTCAACAATTACACAATCACACATTTACACTCCCACATCACTCACTAACTCAACGTATACACACATATAATAAATATCACAAACGTAAGGACAACGACGTCCTCATGGTCATCGTGACGCCTTCATAAACACCCTCAGATAGACAAACATCGGGAACCAATACGAACAACATACACTCAGTGCTGCAACAAAACATCACCGCATCATCAACGCGAACACAATGACAAGTTGAACACAACATCAAGCCTCCAATACAACCCACCACAACTCTCCATAATCAATTCAAAAACATATCTACAACCAACAAAACAACCACAGGAACCCTCCATCCATCTCTCTCTCTCTCTGTGACACATACATTCACCGAAGCACTACCACGCACATGACGTTCAGTCGAGAGTCTATCGAATTACAATTCGAAACAAACAACTGTGACATCATGCCTCTGTCACCAACACCTATAAAGAATGGAACTACCAGGGGCATTTTCAAAATCGCTTTGGGAAATGATGGTTGTTCAGTATCGATGGGTTTAGTGGTTTTTCGACAGTGATTGAAGGATGGTGTTTATATAATGTGCGTTGATTTTGAGATTGTGTGTATATATATTTTTTGGAAGATATGGGCGTACATTTTCGAGGAATGCGGTGATGTGGAAATAGGTATGGACGCATGGGATTAAATTTAGTGTTGGAAAACCAATGAGATTATTCAGGCCTGGTATGTTTGGAATATATAGAAAGTAGGGTGATGTAGACAGTAGGAGTATTAATGGTAAGTCGTAACATTTCAATAGGTATTTAGACTTTAAACCATTCGACTGGAAATCGGTGACGAATGGTTTGGTTAATTTGGTATGTATTCCGGGCAGGAGCTTTACTAGCGAGTTTGAAATTTTAAACTATGAAATGAAGCAAGTAAGGAAAACATGAGTAATAACAGATATGCTACGTAGGATTCCTAATATGGATGGAATTATGGTAGCTTCAATCCAACTAACTCGCTCGGATACAAAGTTTATGAGCTTAGGGAAGTGGTTTATGAAATTAGGAGATAGTATTGTTTACTAATTATGGTTTAGTCAGTGTGACATCAGTCGCATAGGTCAGACTAGGAGATCACGGTTAGTTAGGTCATCAGAACATAGAAATTCGCCTTGATCTAGAATATTTGACCCTTTTAAAGTAGATTTTGTTTATTTTAAACACAGGAAGTGGTACAATATGGACACCAAGAAGACGCACGATGTAGTAATAGTAAAAATTACGGAGAAAATAGGGAGGGAATAAATACAGGACTTCATCTAGAAAGGAAGCAGTTTTATTCGACAAGAACAAACAACATTCATCCTATTACTGTCGGAAGAGGGGAGGAAAGAAGGAAATTAGAGCATGTTCGCCATTGATTGAAATTATTAGTCATACCTGATAATGTTTGGAGCTACCAACACGAACAACTTTCCGGACCCCAATCTAGGGAGTCGTGATGTGTTAACCCATGCAAACCTAACACAACGTCATAGGTTGATCACCTCTCCACTTTTCCATCTAGTCCCAGGGAACAGTGATGATACCTGGTTATATGTCCTCACTTAATCTGATGTATTTTTGTATATAGTTTTGAAGATGTTAACAAACTTTTTAGATACACCCCTGTATAACAGACACTTTCAGAGAACAGTGCTACCCAACGAATCAAAGGCAGCCCTAATATAAAAAAACACAACGATTGTTGGCCTGCAATACATGTGGCGGTGTCCCAACAACTGAAGAAGAGTGAGCAAATGACTAATGTATCCACGGCCTGAACGAAACCCAGCCTGAGAAGCAAGACAGCAGCCAGTATTTTAGACGCAATTGGTAGCAAACTAATGCCTATATGGTTGTTGCATGTGTTACGTCGATCCGTTTTTTAAAGATGGAGACGATGATGGCTTCATTCCACATTGATAGCACGTCTTTACATCCCCACACTTTCTTGAACAATCCATTCAAAGCGAGGACGAGAATCTCTTCACTATCTTTAAAAGGAGCCATGGGTAGATTGTTTCGACCGGGTGCCTTATGGAGCTTCATCACTTGGAGTCCCTTTCAGACCTCTGCTTCGATTGGTGGATCGGAGCACTGTAGCTTATGTTGTTGGATGCTGGCGCTGATGGCCAGTTAAATTGCTTCTCAAAGTGCTCTGCCCACCGTTTCAAGAGTCTTTTCAGGCTGATAATTGGCATGCCATATGCTTCTCAGATTGTCTCAATGACATCATGCTTCCTGTTGCCGGTGGCTCAGATGAGCTAGAACACCTTCCGGCTGTTGATAGATAAAAGCTCGGCCACTGAACAGTGTTCATACAAAAGAGTTGGATATGCCAGGGGTATTAAAACGTAATTTAAGTTAAGTAGGGAGAGAGGTTAATCACCGGAGTTTTGTTCATCGAATCAGCACCGAACACGTACAGTCGAAGTGATGCAGCCCCTATCCCGCACATTAAAAAATTGCAATAAATTACAGGAGGGAGTAAGGCTGTAACAGAGCAAGTTAAGAAGTCGTGTGAATACAATGACATGCTTATAAGCAATAAACTGTGCTCACAAAATCATCCAGTTATTACCACTGCGTCATCGTGTTAAATCGTTAAATAAACTTAGCGAACATTGAAATCGTATGAAATTTTAACAAGTTACTACTGGCGATTGAGAAAGAGTATTTACATGAACAATAAATAATAAAATTATATGAGAACACATCACTTTACTGTAGATTAGAATATCCCATGTAAAACCTGCTGGAAATAATTTGAAATACGATTAGATAATATCATGTTACACATAGGATATCTAACTAAGCAAGTGATCATAAAATTATACAATTCACATTCACTCATTCACTCAACATACCATAAGAACACGTTGTATTAATCGAGATTTCGCCCAACATCGAAGAACACGTAAACGTCTTGGAACATTTTGAGAAGTTTGACCATCAGATGCTAAATATGCAGCTGTTTGAGCAGCTGATTAAAATAATGTATATAAGGTGAATATTAAATCAATAATGCAGGAAAGTTAATGATTAAACAAGCAAACTTATAGAGAAAAAAATATTAAATGTTCACGTACAATAAGCTCGTTTACTATGCAGAAAATAAAATCATAACACGTTAAAATTATCAGTTAATTGGTGGATAGTGACTGGCAGTGGAATCCAGGATGCACATTTCGTCCTACTTGGGACTCCTCAACTGTCTGGACGTACCTGCATTTCCCTGTGAGTGATGATGTTCCCACCGAGGCTCGAACCCAGTGCTCATAGTTCCAAAGGTCAAAGTGTTATCCACTAGACCACTTAGGACACCTCTTGTGCAACGGGTCATATTAATTATTTAATTCAATTTTAGATTTTCCCGTCGATCGATTGGACCAAAGTTCTCGGTCTCAGGTTGACATGTCGGCTTCTTGTGCAGATGCTTCGACGATGTCTACACATGTAATTAGAAGTTAATAGGTGGATGGTGACTAGCAGTGGAATCCAGGATGCTCATTTCGTTCCACTCGGGACTCGTCATCTGGACGTGCCTGCATTTCGCAGTGAGTGATGATGTCACCCACCATCCACCAATTAACTTCTAATTACATGCCCAGACATCATCGAAGCATCTGTACAAGCAGCTGACATGTCAACCTGAGACCAAGGACTTCGGTCCAATCAATCGACCGAAAAGTCTAAAATTGAATTCAATAGTCAATATTATCAGTTTCATGTAAGAGTAGAAATTGGACACTAGTAGAACATAATACAAGTGTCGGTGATTCAGTGGCAAGAATACTTACAAACCACGCTACACGTGGTCCCATGTTCGATCCCCAGCCGACCCACTGCTAAACTTCGCTTAGCTTGGTAGTAAGACCAGAGACGAGGTAAGGTTGGGTATGAGGCTAGCAACTCCACTCCGTAAAAAAATAAACACCACTGCTAAAAGAACTTCAAAGCTCACGAGTGAAGCCTTATGTTCCAATCAGAATGCAAAGAAATATAATACTGTCTGTTATATCAAGCAAACGTATCTTAGTATGGAAGATGACAGACTCAAATAACAAAAATTAAACGCCTAATATTATTAGACCTATGAATGCAAATAGTTAATTTCGAAAGTAATAACCATCAGTAATATAGGAAATTTAGAAAAATGACACGGGCGTGAATTTTGTATTGGATTAATTTATATACATTCGTGTTGAAATGAAGATTAGACTAGAGTCATATGCATATTGGACGAATGTTACTCAACAACAATATACATATATGTCTAATTAGCCGTATATTTTGCCTGAATGCTGTCCCAACCGATGACTGGTACCTTGACGTGGTAGTCGGGCTTGCACATCGCAATGACCCAACAAGCAGTTTGTCTTTTATTCTCGAAAGCAGAAGAGGAGTGGTTTTATAGATACAGCGTAATTCAGCAGCAGGGAATGCTCTTTTTACCGCATTTCTAAGGCGCTGTGTTAGTATCTCACTGGAGTTATCTCCTAGCAACTGCATCTGTAAGAATAAGGCCTTTTTTGGAACTGGTGGTAACTTGGGCTGCTTTGGTTTCAGATTCAGATTCTTATCAATAAACTTTTCAGGATAACCATTTTCACTTAGCAACCGTTTAATATTGTTAAGTTCCTCGTCAAGACATTCGTCCGAGCAAATCTCTCTTGCTCTGCGGACTACTCACTTTATTAGATTGCGTTTGTATTTCAAGGGCACAAAGCTGAGAAAATGTGTGTACTGGCCCGTTGATGTAGGTTTTCTATAAACACTTCTTCTTATTTTGCCATCCTCTTTTCTGGTTATAAGGACGTCTAAAAATGAAATACTCGAGTCTTTTTCTTTCTCAATAGTAAAATTCATTGCAGGATGTACCTCATTAAATTTATCCAAGATGTTCTTTGCTTCCTTCTCGTCCTTCATAATCAAAAAAGTATCATCCATGTACCGACAATAAAATTCGAGTTCATTAATAACATCCTTCAAAGGCCCATTTTCTAGTTTTGCAAGGAAAATGTCGGTTAGAATGTACGGTGATTTATATGTGCAAACATTGTAGGAAAGGCCTTTAGATAGATTCATATATTCAAGAATATGAAGTAGTGAGTACAAAGGACATTTAGAACTTCATATTAAGGCCTCACCATTGAGCAACACAGTTAACGATTACTTTCTCTATGGAGGTGTAAAATCTCCGTAAGTCTGTTGAATAGTAATCAATTCTACCTAGTAATTCTCAAAAACTAACAAAGTAAGTGTGCAGACCAGATATTAACACAAAATGTGTGCACACCAATGTAATGTCTGAGTTAACACGCACCCATCCACCAACCCACCCACACCCACACACACACACAAATATTAAAGAATGCAAGCAGTCTGAGCGAACATACCTGAAACTTTACGTCTATGCCTCTTCACAAAAGACAGACCTGAAGGTAGAAACATTTGTTTTGTTGATTTGAACGACATGAAGCATATATTTGATATAAGTGAAAATAGATATGATAAAGGTTTGTGAGTAATTTTATCATCTTTTGCATTCATCGGATTGTCTAACAGAGAATTAGAAATTTCACTTTTACACTTTTCAGTCGTCATCATAATATCCATTGATGATAAGGTAGTTGAAGACGATGTTGGTGAAGTGGAGTAGAAAGGTGGAAGCATTTGAGGCTCTTGTATGATTGAATTCACTGGATATTCTAACATGAGATCAGATAGCTGTAGGGGAGAAAAATTGAAACAGAAATTTAGAATACACTTTGTTGAAAACTTACTTCAAACATTGAACAATGCCCACCAAAACATCGACTTTACTCTTGAAGTCGAATCTGACGGAATGTTCCACTTCCTCGACGTCCATCTGACAAGAAACGCCGACAACTCTCTGAAAAGGTCCATATACAAAAAGCCCACATGGAGTGGACAATTCATCAACTTTCAAAGCTTCATGCCTCTAAGCAGAAAGAGGAACCTGATATACGCTCTTTCCTCGAGGATTCGGAAGATATGCAGCGAGGAGGTGATTGATGAAGAACTGAGTAATCTCCGAAAAACCCTGATGGAAAACGGTTTTCCGCCTAGGTTCATAGACAAGAACCTCTAATCAAAGACGAATTCCGAACAAGTTCAATCCGTCCCGAAGAAGATACTTCTAATTAATCTAGAATTCAAAGGTGACATTGAAGCAGAGATCCTTCGTAAACGCCTCTGCGAATCTCTGAGGAAGACATACTTCGCCGCGAGCCTACGACTAACGTTTTCCTGCAAGAAACTGTTCAGCCAGAACGCGAAAGACAAGCTGTCACACTTTGTTGAATAAAAAACATTACTACCAAATAAGGAGGATGATTGGGAATTCAACGACTACACCTTGAAATATGAACAGAGATCAAACAAACATTACTGCAGAATACTAAGGATCCATTTTATTTCGTCAGTCCCCATCAGCTGCATTCAACCTATAACAAGTCATAATACAATATTTAACGTAAATCTTCTTTTATCATCGTGTCATCCAGAAAGTCATAATAGGGAAATAAACCATTACTCAATTAGGGATAAAGTTTCATTTTGATAAAATCAAACAGTACTTTGATTGGACACTAGTCAGTAACTAGTGTCCTTTCTTTGGTGCAGACTGAACCCTATCAGTCAGGTTTTGCAATGTGGTCACCACTGCTACTGAAACTCCACAACCTCAAGTCAAGAGCGCAGTGTTCCACTCGGAACGATTTGCTTTATTCCCTTCAAAGGAAAACAATAACAGTATACAAAATAACACTATCCGGTTTACTTTGAGAAAACTTACCTCCATACGCCGAATATCCACTGACAGAATAGTAACAAAGAAGAAAAGTTGCAGGAAAAAGTCAGTAGTTAAACCGACAACTGCGAATAGGCAGAATTCTTGCATTGTTGGATGGAATGTGAAAAATCCCAAGCCAAGTAACAATAAACCAGTTAAGTAGAGTTTGGTTAGCGACCAACTTTCTTTGCTTAAACCTACGGATAGCAAGAAAAGATGATACATCATAGTAATATTCTTCTGATAACGATGTTAATACAATTAATAAATGATTTTTACGAGTTAATCACGGATTGATATCAGTTAGAGAAACATTGAAAACCAGCTAAGAGGAGTACTGGACAGCTGTTTCCTCCGTCCTAGTTTGGGAATCATCGGCAGTACGCACCAACTGGGATACTGTCATGTATGTGAATATGAGGACCTTGTAGACTACGAGCGAATCTAACTAATGCGCTGGCTAATCTGTCTTAATCGCACGTCAACAACAACAACAACAATAATACCGCCGGGCACGCAAGACAAATAAAAGAGAAGACTGGACGTTGATAAGAGAGCTTTTTTGTCTCAAACAACAGTCGAAAATGTTAAACAACAACTCCGTATTTATACAATTAGAAAAATCAATGTCACATTTTAAAAATATTAACAAACCCTGGGAATTCAGTAATTTAAATCAATAATCACGCAGATGCGTGAAATCAATGATTATGCTAGTGTGTGAAATAAATAATGAATATTAATGATTCACCAGCGTATATATTAGATACGAACCCAGGACCTTCCTGTTACAAGGCAAGCTCGCATACCATTCAGCCACCGGGACCCGATTCAATGGCTAGCCCATGAATTCTAACTTCTACCAATTCGTGATTTAGCACAACCCCAACCAATGTCGTCAGTGGGACATCCATCCTCACTCCTGACTGGATGGACCTCACTGGTCAAGACTTCTCACTAGAACTCCAGGAAACTCCATCCTGTAGCAAGTCACTAGCGAGCATCAGATTAATTTTCTATAGTTTGGTTTGTAAGGATTAGTTTTGTTTTTACGAGTTGATCACGGATGGCGTACTGCCGATGATTCCCAAACTAGGATGAAACAACTGTCCAGTACTCCCAGCTGGTTTTTAATGGTTCTCTAACTGATATCAATCCGTGATCAACTCTTGAAAACAAAACTAACCTTTGCAAACCAAACTGTAGGTAATAAATGATTAGTACAGGAACTAGACATACCTAATAATAATAATAATATAATAATAATAATAATCACTTTATTCCACAACAATAACAATTTACAGCATGGAATTTTCAGCGTTTCATTTTACATATTGCATTGGTTTAGCTCTTTTTATAATTATATAAATGTATAAAATTTTAAAAATATTGATAGTTAATAGGAAAAATAAAAAACCCCAACAAAATACACCATTTCTAGGTCATAGTGAATAATAAATAAATAATATAACAAATAACACATGCAATAATATGCATCATTACATTTTATAGTTTAGTTAATGATTTAAAAGTTGTAAAAGTTCTTTTCTGATATTCGTCTCTTCACACAATACTCGTGCCAAATATGGTACGGTCGAATTTTTATATTTTGTAGTACGAGCATAAATGTTTATGAAATTTCTTCTGGTCTTACCCGAAGAGATACAAGGAAACAAATGTGAATAAAGAGGATGTTCACTATCAGACAAAATAACTTTAGCTAACTGTTTACAAGAATTCATATGCCTATTGACAACAGTGTCAGTTAGTTGAGTCAAAGGGATAGCACTGACCCTACTTACAGCCCTCAATGTTCTTCGTAGTATTATATGGTCTTTTTTGAGTAGCCCAGGGAAGAATAATGGAGAACAATAAAGAATGATGGGCAAAACACATGAATTAATAAATTGTATGAGAAGAGATTGGGTTATACCTGAGTGCCTCAACTTCTTTATGTAATAAGTCAGACAGAAAATCTTCTTAGAAACTATAAGAATATGAGACGACCAGCAAAGGTTTGAAGAGAAACTAATGCCAAGATAAGAAACACTTGACTTACTCTCTATCATGGTACCATCAATATTACAACAATCATGAGATTGGATCAATCCATGCATGTCTTTTTCACTTCTCAAGCTGAAATCAACAGTATTACATTTAGTTGGATTTAGTTTAAGACCATTTGAGCTAGACCAATCCTTAACTTCAGCTAAGAAGCCATTCATATGGGAACAATCCAATGTGGAAACTACAGGGACAGAAACGGTCAGATCATCAGCATACTTAATGAAGTTAACTTTGGGTGAGTTCGGAAGGTCATGCAAAAAGAAAGAGAAAAGAAATGGAGAAAGTACTGCTCCTTGAGGCACACCACTTTCAGTTAGCTGAGAAGTGGAGCGCTTTCCAGCCAAAACAGTATGCTGTTTCCTATCCTTAAAATAAGAAGACAGCCATCTAGTTGCCCAGGACTCTGTCTGTGCTGAAATCATCTTTCCTAATAAAAGTGTCCTAGGAACAGAGTCGAAAGCTGCAGTATAGTCTAAAAAAGCTGTTCGAACGAACTTAGCACCCTTATCAAGGCAGGAAACAATATTGTGGTGTAGTACAATGGCTGCATCTAATGTACTTCTTCCACACTTATAAGCAAACTGCTTAGGGTCACTAAAAGCTTTCAAAGAAGGTTTAAGAGTATTCAAAAGAAGTTTCTCCATAGTTTTCAAAAAAGGAGATGTTATAGCGACCGGTCTAAACTTTATACCTGCTCCAGAAGATGATTTCTGTACAGGTACAACCTTGATTTCTTTCCAGTCAGCAGGTACCGTTTCCTTGTTGAATGATGCATTAAAGATTTGAGTAAGAGGATGACACAAGATGTCTGCACACTTTTGAAGAAGAATGCCTGGTACACCATCTGGACCAAGGCTGTGTGTTGGATTTAAAGATTTCAAACATAATAGTACATCCTCTTCTTTAAAACCCGGAAAATGACCATTATCTTGACTAGGTACATCAGGTACAGGCATATTAATTTGTTTCATGATAAATGATTTGTTTAAAGCATTTACATCAGAATAAGCATCAACAGACATTTGTTTTTTACTTGTAAGTTTATTGAAAAGTTTCCAAATGTTTGAAGGATTTTTACATGATAAAAATTTTTCATTATATAGTCTGTTCAATCTTTCTATTTCAATTTTTATAAGGGTGTTTATTTTACGGACACCAGTATTATCACAATTCTTATACAATTCTTATAGTGTTAACTAAAATAGGACTTCAGTAGGCAATAAGGAATATTTAAAATAATGAAATCAAACGACCAGCTAAAACAGATAGTTATGCCGGTAAACTCTTTGTGATGTCACTGAATCAGGTGACACGAAATTGTTAATTATACACAGTTCCAAAGGCATCTTTCATATACCGAAATGCACTAACTTTTCTGACTTTTTCGAAGGTAAGTTACAGTAGGCTTCAGTTGATACCAGAAGTTTTTTTTGATTGGACACTAGTCAGTAACTAGTGTGTAATGCGTCTAGTCCTATCTTCTCTGCAGACTGAATTTTGTCAGTCAACCTTGCAATGTGGCCACCATGTCACTAGGTGGCTCACCATTACGATGCGCTGTGAAATGTTGGTATTAAATGGTTGGAGACAATCAGCAGGAAGCCTTGCCTGATCTAGGTTTCCTGCTAGTTGGCACTCATCAGCAAGGCTTGACTGATAGAATTCAATCTGCACCGAAGATGCGATTAGACACATTACACTGGTTACTGACTAGTGTCCAATCAAAAATATCCAATACAGTATTCCTACAGGAGGTCAATCGCGAGCCCAAATAGCTCAGTGGTAACGTCTCTGACTGCAGTACTCACTGGGTGACGCGGGTTCGGATCTCAGAAGGGAAATAAGTTCCTTCAAGGTTCCAGATACTCCTTGCTGACTGGTAAGTGCCAGCTAGCACGAAACCTAGGTCAAGCAAGGCTTCATGACGATTGCCTCCAACCATCGCATACCAACAATGATACCAGAAGTATTTACGATAAGTACAGTTGTACAGTGAAGATAAATTTTAAGCAGAACCTGTTTTAAAAGTGGCCGTTATTCATTGACTATCTCCCCGAAAGTAAGTGATACCAATACGATTGATCTGTAGTCAGTTATCATCTAAAACTAGAGTAGACTACAAAAAAATATTCATCCTCATACAGTTGTAACAGTTAATCAACCTTTTTGTTTTTACGAGTTGATCATGGATTGATATCGGTTAGAGAACCATTGAAAACTAGCCAGGAGCACTGGACAGCTGTTTCCTCCATCCTAGTTTGGGAATCATCGGCAGTACGCAACCACCACAGGAGGTGCCAGCCCAGGATATTCCAGTTACAAGGCAAGCTCATATACCATTCAGCCACTGGGACCCGATTCAATGGCCAACCCATGAATTCTAACTTCTACCAATTCGTGATTTAGCGCGACCCCAATGTAAATTTACGAACACCAAGAGATAAAAATTTAAGTGATGATGCACAAGATAGCGGATAATAATCAGAGGTCGAAAGGAGAAGTGTGTGTGTGTGTGTGTGTAAATTGACTAACCTCCCTAATTAATCACGCTTTGGAGAGAGGCCTTTTCTAGAAGCAACTACAAAGATGAAAGATGCAACTTATCAAGATTCAAGGAACTTACCTTCAGCAATTCGATACTTTACTGGGAGGTCAACAGGAGTTGCAACCACAGACTTCGTGAGAACGATAACATTTTCAAACCCGATTAGAACAACTAAATAGGGGAAAACTTCACTGAAATAAGGGAAGAATAAAGGCAACAGGATATAATTAAGAAGTGAATAACGCAAATTAGCATTATGCAGACTCTTCAGTACAATTAGGTAATCGATGGTAGAAAGTTTTGTACAAGATAACTACCTAGAGTAGGCATAACAATCACTGAGCTGCATTCTTGTTTATTTTATTTTTTTGTAGGATATGAAACTAGGAGGTACCAGTCAGTCACAAGGCGATCATGCTATCCATTTAGTTACCGAGTATAAATCTAGCAGTCCAATTACTCACCGATGACTTATTGGTTTCCAATGGTTATCGGCGTGTGATGAAATTTACTCTGTAATCAGTCGAATTGCAGTCGTTTAAGTATTACAGTTTTCAGTAATGTCTCATGAATTATCCAATCAACGTTCAAAATATTTCTTTCCACCTGCGTTACTCTTCATTTATGTTACTTTTTGTTCATTTCAATAACTTCTGATGAATTTCATCATGAGCTGACATTGGTTAGAGAACCATTGGAAAACCAGCTGGGAGTACTGAACAGCTGATTCCTCCGTCCTAGTTCGGGACTCTTCAGCAGTACGCACCCATCACAGGGGTTTGAACCCAGGACCTTCTGGTTACAAGGCAAGCTAGCTCATAGACCATTAAGCCACTGGGACCCGATCCAGTGGCCAGTGCATGAATTCTAAATTCTGCCAATTCACCATATAGTGCAACCGCCAACCAATGTCTTCGGCGAGTATTTGTCCTCACACCCGACCTGCTGCATCCTACTGGTCACGACTTCCCACTAGAACCCCAGGTAACTACCTACCTGAAATCCTGTAACCAATCTACCAAATCCCTACAAACCAATACTTGAACTTCTGATGAAGTTAATTCCACTTGTGAGATGTTCACAAAATCCTCAAAAATAAACAAGTAAATTGGATCGCATTATCAAGTCACAGTTGTTATACCTGAATTATTCAGGTTCATAGTCTATTTTATACCAGGTCCGTTTGTTCCTGGAAGACTATTAAATCAGGAATTGTTTACCTCAATATGAATTAGTAAGTAAGTAAGTACACATTGAATACTGGTGAAGATAAACAAACAAGTTGTTAAGCATTTCGTACTGATTAGTGCTCATTTATAACCAACTATAAGGCAATAAAATTCACCTATCATATAAAGACACATGCACATTTTAAATTTCTTTAAACGTACCCTCCATTCAGTGTTGGCATAACAAGACCAATGGTTACACACAGACCGATAGACATGAATAATGAGGCAGCTACAGTGACACATGCACTTAATGCTAAACCCCATTTCGATTTGACCATTTCCAGTTTACCTAATAATTAAAACAAAAACAAAATTATCTCAAAACTACATACATTATGACCGAAAAGATTAATGATAAATTTAGACAGACATATTTAATGAAAATAAAGAGAGCCTGGAATAAATCTAAGCTGTCGTTCTGTTTCATATTAGGCATGGAAGATAACCAAAGGAAAATCAATAGAGTAAAAGAAAAACCATCGATTATATCTGCGAACAGATTATAGAAAGGAATTTGTGCACTGATATTCCTATTAGTAATCTGAAACAACTACTTGTTGTTAAATGTACAACAAATGTTCAGTTCTTGTTTAATAATGAAATATACAGACAACAGGTTGATGGAGTAGCCGTGGGATCCCCACTGGAACCTATTTTCGCGAACATAATTCTAATAAAACTAGAAAATAGTCCGTTGAAAGAGGAAATAACAAAAATGGAAATGTATTGTCGTTACATGGATGACACTTTTGTAGTGTACGATGAAGGGTTAAGTAGTGATTTGATTTTGAGCAACTTCAATAATGCTCACCCAGCGGTCCATTTCACCTACGAAGGAGAATACAACGACTCTCTATACTTCTTCGACGTCCTACTAACGAGAAGAGAGGATGGTTCCGTCAAAAGAACCATATTTAGAAAGCTAGAGACCAAAGCTCAGTATACACACTTCCTTAGCTTCGTACCGATGAAATACAAACGTAATCTGATCAGGTGCTTAGCATTTAGAGCGAGGTCCATTTGTTCCGATGACTGCGTAGAGAAAGAACTCCAGGTCATCCGATGTATTCTAAGCGAGAACGGATATCCAGAGAAGTTCATTAAAGCCAACATAGGTTACAATAGTCGTGAACATGAACTGGCAACGGTAGAGAAAAAGCCTCTGTTTTTACGTCTCCAATTCAAGGAAGATACTCCTGCGGAGATTCTATCGCAACGTTTAACCAGGGCGATCAAGAAAACTTTCTACTCTGCACGTCTGTGTCTATCCTTCAGTAGCCGTCCAATGTTCACCCAGTAACTCAAAGATGTCTTACCTAACCTTAGCTCTTCTTCATGCATATACCATTTCAACTGTTCCTGTGGTTCAAGTTATATAGGGCGCACGATTAGGCAGGTTCGTCTACGGGTTTGAGAACATTTACCAGCTTGGTTCAGCAGAGGGGAAATTAAGTGCATAAAAAGCTCGATCCTGTCACACTTGGTCGATACTGGATATCGTATCGATGTCAACACAGCTTTCAGGGTTATATACCGAATTCCGAAGTCGTTATCACGTACAGTTCGCTTACGTCTCCGACACATAGCTGAAGCTGTTGCAATATGATCGACTAAACCGGAACTTTGTATCCTAAAAGAACACGTCCAGACGCTGTTCCTACCGTGGCCAAACTTGGATTGATGATTCTTCTTCTCACCAAGAGTGCTCCTTCCCCTTAACCCTCTTGGTTTTTTCCTTTGCTTATTATTACAAATATTATTATTACTCGTCATAATTTATGCCCTTCATGCAAACATTCTCTCAATACTATCGAATTTTTCATTTATACTATCCGGACTTATTATTAGTGATATTATCTCTTTTCTCAATATATGCCTCCACCTTTTTCAATTCACATATTGGTTATTTCATTTTGAACCTCTCATTGCAGTCTTACTATCTCCTGTTTAATACAGACCACTTTGTACTAGCCATTCACCTGACACCTTTTATAACCTTGAACTGACTTGTCAATTTCCCTACCCCACACTCTACAAATCTATTATGACTAATCACCAGCATTGTCTCCCATTTTACAATATTTTGTAATCGATTTCAGCCTAGCACGTTTGTTACATAAATACGACTATTTATTCTGACTCCCCATAACTAATCTGTTATCCTACGTTAAAAATGTATCCGCCACATAACTGGTCATTGTTGTAACGACAACAAATATTATACGTATTTTATAATTGTAAGAACCTGAAGTAGAGAAATTATTGAAAAGCATATTCTTCGTTCAGATTGACTTTTAAAAGAAAAACTATTTGAAGTTGCAGACACTCGTAAAATGAAATGAAGAAATTGAATTAATATTGATGACAAACGGTATACGATGATGATGATTATGATGAAGCATACTTTACAATCGGTAGACGCCATCAATATGGTGGATTAACACGCCAGGATGGTGGTAGTGACAGACACTGATATTCATAAAAAACTGTGATCAACATTTGACCGAATAGTTCTAAAATAATTGGGCACCGAGTGAGAAGTAGACATATGCGTAAAATTTTCTATAGTTTAGTTTGTAAGGGTTAGTTATGTTTTTACGAGTTGATCACTGATTGATATCAGTTAGAGAACCATTGAAAACCAGGGAGTACTGGACAGCTGTTTCATCCTAGTTTGTGAATCATCGGCAGTGCCAAGGTCTATGTTGATTCCAGACAGAGACAGACAGAATCATCAGCAGCACGCACCAACTGGGATTCGAACCCCGGACCTTCCAGTTACAAGGCAAGCTTGTATACCATTCAGCCACTGGGACCCGATTCAATGGCTCATGAATTCTAACTTCCAGTACTACATGCTGGTTTTCAATGGTTCTCTAACTGATATCAATCCGTGATCAACTCGTAAAAACATAACTAACCCTTACAAACCAAACTATAGAAAATTAATCTGATGCTCGCTAGTAACTTGCTACAGGATGGAGTTTCCTGGAGTTCTAGTGAGAAGTCGTGACCAGTGATGTTTATCCAGATGTAACGTGTGAGAATGGATGTCCCACCGACGACATTCGTTGGGGTCGTGCTAAATCACGAATTGGTAGAAGTTAGAATTCATGGACTGGCCATTGAATCGGGTCCCAGTGGTGGTTGAATGGTATGCGAGCCAGCTTGCCTTGTAACCGGAAGGTCGTGGGTTCGAACCCTGGAGGATGGGTGCGTACTGCCGATGATTCCCAAACTAGGCTGATGAAACAGCTGTCCAGTACTCCTGGCTGGTTTTCAATGGTTCTCTAACTGATATCAATCCGTGATCAACTCGTAAAAATAAAAAATATGAATAAAAATTATATTTGTAAAATCTCAGTTAAATTAAAGTGACTAATTCCAAAGTTTCACTCAGCAAACTGGTTCGAACTTCTTTAGGGAAATTAATCGATATTAAAATAATAAGTCTATATCTATAAAAAGGACCTCTCTTGTTCTTATAAAAAGCTTTGTCCAATCATATGAATTATGAAACAAGCATCAAAATATAATATATATAGTAAACAAAATTGCATGAACTGTGATCAAAATTTGACCTCAGACTTACAAATATTAGTCTACACTTTTGTTAAACACTGTAGACAGTGTGTACTTTTGCATCAGAATTTTAGTAATTACATCCGTCTGAAGTTCATGGTCGTAGATAACTGAATATGAGAAATATATATGCGTATACACGGTATACAATGCTGTGTGTGCATGTGTGAATGCCGTAACACTTGCATATCATTTTTTAGCCTCTACATAAGAAGATATAGACAATCGGGAATTTAGACCAAGTTTGATCAATTATTGATACATATCCTTTTTTATTTATCAATCAGGATTCGCCATGCATCAGCTAACATCACACCTTCATGTCTGTTCAAACTTTCGGGATTCACTAAAATATGTAGGGCTTCTTCAGTCAGTCTTTCTTCATAAGAACCAAAACCTTTGTGTAGAGCCTTAGTCCTATCAACCCCGGTCATTTTAATTTCGATTAATTGCCCTGAAGAAGTGCCAAACGAAATATTGGAACTACTCATTTCAATTCCGCTGAGATTTTACAAATATAATTTTTAGATATGTTTGCATAATACTGACAGATCAGGTTTTTGTTTCCTAAAGTGAAAGGATTACATCCAACTTGGAACATCTAGGTATTCAGAAGATTGGAACGATACGTCACCTACACACTTTTAATTTGACAGAGAGAAATAACCGCATAATGTTAAGAAGTGGCTAATCTCGAAAATTAACTAGAAGATAGAACTTACGCTGATATCATTTGTAGATTGTTCCTCAACAAACAAGGTATCTTTTCAGTTGGTGTGTGATATGAAACTACGAGTACTAATACTTGATAACATAGGGTCACAGACAACAGCGGATTATGAAGAGATGAGATGGTGAACAGAAATATAAGCAATCGCCAGTAAGTAGCAGATAATGATTGTCGATGCTGGAAAATCTTAGCAGAAGGACGAAAATAATAAACACAACACAAGGTAAATTACAGGAGAGAAAGTATACCGTTAGAGAAGGGTACGATTAACGGAAGTCCCTTCCGAATTGGGGACGACAATATATTGTCACTGAGAGACTCGACGGTAACGACAAAAACAGACAGAATCAAAGGGTCTTCACGAATGATAGAAAAACTTTTGATGGAGGGACATGTATGGCATGTGCCGATACCAAGAATGTGCGGGTGGCATATAGTTTTTCGGCTTCTTTAAAAGTCTTGAATACATGAAGTTCTAGATAAGGGAAGTGGAGGGGGGAAATGGTTATCAAAATAGAAGGCGTTGAATGAAGAGCGGGAAGCTGGAGAAAATGAAGCAGGGAATAAGGATACGATTTGTGGGAACTGGATTTTTAATGTACAGTTTTTACACTTTATCAGTACTGCATGGAATTCGACTAACAAACAATTCTTCACTAGTATTACTGCGCTCGTCTTCACTCTAGTAAATGAGCTTCAAAAAGTCATACTGATGCCCCTGATATTCTAGCTGATTTGCACAATTACTTACTCCGTTTATGGATAAGTTCACTTATTAGAAGAACAAATAAAAAATCAATATTCAAAAGGAAAGAGAATCAACTTACGGACAGAAAAATATACATAAAGTAACAGAACCACATATATGAATATTAACGGTGCATAATCAGCGAAATACGATCGATCACTATACCAAACAAGAAAGATGTGCCCAATTGATGCCGTATTCGATTTGTCATTTGATTTCGGTACATCTGAAGTAATGTCAGTATCATTATGAAGAGTCTTCATACGTGAAACAAGATAGTCTCGAAGTTCAGAAAAGAAGCTTAAAGAAAAAGATGTAAATATATAGAAAAAAAACAAACAAACAATAATGTCTGAAAGTAATTTATGTGATAAATAAGATAAGAAGTTATTGACTGTCAATTTGATCTACAGAGGATTATTTCATAAAATGCTTGGGGTCGATAATCTCAAGAATTGCTTACACATTGATACAGGTGTATTCACTTTTTGTCTACATGCAGATTTTGAAGGTGTTTACTGAGCTTCACTTAATTATTTTCCTGCACACGTGCCTATTGTTTTCCTGTCTTTCCAACGTGTGGCAACTTGAAATGATGAACTTTGGTGCAAAGTTATAAATTAGTTATAAAGATTATAATAAGCAGATAATACTGAGGATGTATTTATGGAAAACTAATTATATGGAACAGTAGTGAGTAATTAAAACGAATGATTCCTATGGTGGATGGTGACTAGCAGCCGAATGCGGGACACGCATTTCGGTCTATTCGGGGTACATCATCTGAATGTACCCGGGTTCCCCAGTGAGTTATAGTATTCCCATCGAGACTCAAACCTGGCACCCGTCGTTTTAAATGCCAAAGCGTTATCTAATAGACCACGTGGACCAAGGGAGCCACCTCTTGTACTTTAAGTTAAACCTCAGGTATCGTCGACGCATCCGTACTAATATCCGGACCAATATGTTAATAGAGGCCAAATATTTCGGTCCAACCAATCGACGTGAAAATCAAATTTAACTTTTTTTTAAATAATAAGACGATTCTTAGCTATTCGGCAGCGAAATTTTCGTCTGAAATCACCTTTATAATAAACCTAGGCCTTTTTGTAGACCGATCATCTTAAGGCTTTCCAGCAATTTCGCAGCGCGCTGAGATATTAAGCTAGGCGAACAAATTAAAGCGCTTCTAGACAAGCAGCTACGCCTGTCGGTTCGCCATTACTACTACTTGTCTGATTAGGCCTTGTTTGGCAGAGTGCAATTCCATTTCTTGACTTATGGCTTGAAAACTGGATGTCTAGACCAATGATTGTTCATAAGGAAAAAGAATAAAGATTTGCTGTAAATTCCCACTATGACAGTATTTAACGAACGAAAGAGCTATAATCACAGAATTGGTAAAAAGTAGCGTTAGTTAGACTGGATCTTCACTGTGCCAATAATAAATAGTTTCTTAAAAACCACCACTACAGCTGATATTACGGCAACTTCAAATTTCATTGGGACAAGAAGATCACGGCAGACAGTTGACAAATTTTCGCAACTGAAGTGTAATATAAAAGTATGCGGCAAAGAAACATCTTTTGAACACATAAAAAATAGAATCTTTATTGCATAGAAATCTGTGAGCTGAAGACATTTCAGCATTTTTAAGCATAACTAAAGTGCATAATAATGAAAGCTACTGATTTCACCAAATGCTCATAAAAAATCTACACATTTGAAAGGAAAAAAATTACAATAACACTTACGAAGGTTTGTACTCTCGAAATACTAAAGTTAATGCATATGTAACAGTTCGCTTTCTACTACACACTGAATGTTTCGATAGTCCTGTTGCCTTCCAAGGGAATCCAAAAAGAAGGTCTCGTAAATTCCCTGCAGCAGCAAGTCGTATACGTGATAGAACAGATGGTTGAGGCGATTGGACTATACCAAGATGATCGTCTAGCAGAAAACCAGGAGCCAATAAAAGACATCCAAATGTAGGTAGTACATTTTGTATTGCTTCTGAGCTTTCTACTTCATTGACTGCTCTATCCTCAACCTAGGATGACAAATTCAACACCGAATAAGGAAAATTGTTAAAGAGGAATAAGATTATTCGGGAAAGTGTTCTAGAGATCAATAAAAGATTTCTGTTTAGAAGTCTAGTGGAGTACTAAGTGATCAGCTTCCGTAAACGACCTGATACGGCCAAGCGTGGGTAGACTTCAGTATTCCTTTTCAAATGCTCTTATGTAGCCACGAGTTCATAGCCTCTGCCAAGTAAGTCCTATTTACGGCCTTTACGTTGTTGGGGTGTTCCTTACGAAAGTAAACGCAAACATCTGGAGTTTTACAAATGGATTAGAGAACATACTAGTCTACCCTGGAAGGAGCAGGAAAATCCTAGTTCCAAGTCTATAGTGTACATGAGCTCCAGAATCTGAACGGATAGAATGGCATACCGACCTGTTTTGGTCACTGGTAACCATGGCAACCCAGCCCCACTGCCTTGTGGGTTAGACTTCAAATCAAAGGCTCAAGGTTGATCCCTCAAGATAAACACCTGCTTCGGTTTGGCTGTACGAGCAGTATCTCAGCCCTCGCACAGTGCGGTGTCTCTTGGTGACCAAAAAGTACCAAGTTTGTGTTTTTAATCATTTCAAATAACTAAGTGAATACCATTTTATCTCTGTTCTAATTGCTGTTTCTTTCTTACACCAAGTGTAAACATACAAAATAATTACTTTTCTGAGGTCTGTAAAGGTACAATAGAATGATATCTGCACACGTATTGTTTACAAGCAAAAAGTGAGAGAAAACAAATTAAGATGTCAACATATTTGAATAATGTAACAGTTACTAGTGAGGTCAAAATAATTTATAAAGCCGAGATAAATTTGGATAGTAAGTATGCGTGAAGACAAAACTCTGAAATTAGACTATTTATCAATATGCAAAACCAGAAAAACGAAAAAAATATGGGAACCAAATGAACCGTCCAATAAACCATATAATCCATTTGTAGCAATAAGATAAATAGATATAAGTTGTTAGTAATGATTATTGACTTGATTGTAAGTAGTAACGCGTTGGTTTAAGTACTCGATTCTCAATAAGCGAATTACAGGTTCGATCTACAAAGTGTTGTCATCAGTAATTAAATAGCAGAAGCGACGCAATACCTAGTGTATTGCCTCGCATATAGTTGCTGATTCGTACCAATATTCCTGTTACTTGTTAGTAGAGGTGGTTTACACTTTTGTGAGTTTAACAAATCTATAATTCCAAAAAGATGAGGGATTAGGTAAAAGCAGAAGTTAGGCACTGCGTAGTTATATCTGTTACTCTGTCTCAACCTAGAGTGAATGTATACTGGAGCGTGCCTTTCAACAGATAATTTTTTTCTAAGTTAACTACCTTAGTAGAGTGGTAGTTTAGTCAAACAGTAAACTTATGATAACCTGGTTGATAATAACCGACAAACTTACCAACGTATTTGACATCACAGTCATTACATCGCTGCGCTATGTAAGGTAGTACCTCTTGATTACCCCGAACAGATCCTCAGGCCGACGGAGTTTTTCTCCACGTGAACTTATAGGTTTAAACACCAGACTAACTGCAACCCTATTATGAGTCCCCCACGAAGTTTCGGATGTTCCTCCTCAACAAGGGAATACTATGGTAGCTTTAAATTCCTTCCTAATCGTATTCTGACCATGATTAACCCCAAATTCATCATAAGTGCTTAGATCATTGTACTAGTTGATAACCATTACGAAAAGACAAAATTAGAAAAATCAAACTATCACTTGAGAGGATAACGTATGATACCACCTTAGGGATCCAAAACGAATTCCGTTTTAAAAAGCATGAGCAAAAGTACGTGGAGATTTATTACGACTAACGCTACTGATTCTGGAGGTCGGAAAACAACTTAAATAGAAAGTTATTCGACCTCATTGTTTAGATATTAGTGACTGGAAACTCAAGAAATGTCACATGACTCATATACATTATAAAACAAACCTGAAAGCAGATATCATCGAATGTTTGGCCATCTGATTTTCCATCATCTCCAGAACTTCTGAACTGGCGTACAAGCTCAACCATTTTATTGCTCTGCTGGAGTAAATGAGTGACAGCTTCATGATTAACATGACACTCAGGAATCTTCGTCAATATTGTTGAGTGTACAATTATTTGAAGCATGTAACCAAGGCTTTTATTCTGGTCATCATGAGTCTATTTACAAGGTTAAGCAAGATATGGAAAAAAAAAATAATGAAACAGATATCGTAAATGGTATCTAGAAAAAAATCAATTTGATATGAAAGTTTAGTTATACAACGTAGAAAGTAGATAAGATTAACTTACGAAAACATAGCGTGAATCTTTAAAAGACTGAAATTCATCGTCTCGAACAACTGCACGATGTACAGGTACTTCTTTTACAATAGGAATCTGTGTTAAAGGGTAGCTAAACCTATCAACTAAAACAGAACTTACCAAAGAAAAATCATGAGTATGCACACTGTGGTGATCACGGGTGCAGGATGTGTTGCAATAAATAATCCATGATTATAATACACCCTGGCAATCTTTAGCTTTAGCTTCTCCACAAGCGCGTCAGGAAATATGGTCCGACGAAAAAGCAACATATATTAGCAAGTGTCTTGCTTTTCACAGGTCTCTGGTCACCTGTTGTGTTATTTCCACTTCTATCTATTGACAAAGTGGGTTATAAACAGTAAAGAGCCTGTAAGAAAATATAAAAATCGATAAGTTAGTCACTCAGTATGCAAATAAGAGTTCGTTAAAAAACAGAGTTGATGCAAATATGCATTGACATTTTAGCTCACTACTGATCGGTAAGCACAACAGTCTGTTGAAAATTTCTATCACGAAAACAGCTTTGCTGGAAGGAAACATCAAATTATATCCGATGGCAGCTGAGTATCACTGTTACACTATAACTTCATTGAACACCAATGTATTCTAATCAATTTTCCGAAACAAACTAAGATGAATTAATACAGCGAGATGACCTTTGCAAATATATTTTATTTCTGTTCATAATTTACACACTAATGTAAGAATACAGCCTGTTCCAAAAACGTCCTAGTAGTGGCATGTTATTGCCACATTGTATGCTGAGAAGAATTCAAGCAATGCACTTACACTGTCATTATACTAGCGGGCTTAACACAAATACTTGCTTTAAAAAAATTCTTAAATAGGCTCCAAAATAAAAGCTTTACAGTATATATTCTGGTTATACACAGAATTTACGAATGCCATGAAACCATGCATGAAAACCGACGTACAGCAGCTAAGTGCCAATGAAAAAGGGGGTGTCAGGGAAATAGCACAGTTCGGATTAGTCTCTAGAGTCTCCCTAAGGCCTTCAGGTATATTAATATACTCAAATATGATGTATTCATACGGGTAAATACATATATATTAATACAAGTACACATTTCGTTCACTACAGTGCTCGGTGCAGAACTCTAAAATTATGTTTAATCCAATAGTTTATATACAGATTTCCATTCTAAACCATTATTCATCCATGCAGTGTATGCATATTTCTGCATTATCACAAGGGTATTGCACTTATATTTATGTACTCTTCTACTCTCATTTTGCGTCATCAGTTTCGCCGTTCACAGTTTTAAAGTCTTCAATGTAACTCTGAAGCATGGGCTGACCAACAAGACATTGTGACTCAGCTGATATGGCTAAAAAGAGAATTTTAAAAAGCAGTCAAGGTCACGGTCTAACTGAATCCACGCGCGTCATCTTCAATATCCAATGTCCGATATCCTGCTTACGAGCTGGTATAAACCAGTGATTTCTTTGAGCTCGCTTCTTGATTGTAAGGTATAGGTTCAATATCTTCGGTAAACTTGTGCGTAGTAACTCCCGCAACTCGACTACTTTAGCTCTGGTAGACTCCAAGATGAGTGGTGCGAGGATTGGTCAAGATGTGGTTTGTAGTGTGCAGTATGTTAGGACTGAGTTGCTGCCGTGACTGGAGTTTGACCTGACACCCGTTGGTCATTCGGTGTAGCCATAAAAGCAGAATAGTAATAATAATAGGTTGTAGTGTAGATAATATAGGTTGAGATAAGTGAAATAATAAAGGTGAGCTAAGGAGAAGATAGAGTAGTCGGTACAGTGAGAGAAGACAGAACAGGTCGTGGGGATTTAGCTTGTATGCTTATCCATTGACAGTGTGGTTTCAAATTTTAAGAGGGTAAGCCATTGAGACACAAACCATGCATTTCTGCATGATTGTCCAGCTTCCGCTTAAAAGTCTCCACAGATGGCGCTGTAGTTACGGCCGCCGGTAAAGCGTTCCAGAGACGGCAAACTCGGAGCGAAAAGAAATGTGAACGCACTGGAGTCTTTGGTCTCTGGTGTGCTACCCTTAGCGGGTTACCTCGTGGAAGCCTATAATCACTTAACGGCAGGATGCTCTTATTAGGGTGGGCCTGGTCATTTAAGATCTTATAGACGGTGATGGGGTCTCCCCTGTGACTACGGTAACTAAGTGTGAAAAGACTTAATTTCTTCAGTCTTTCCTAATATGATCTGTTGCGGAGGCCGATCACCCATTTTGTCGCTCGTCTCTGGACACTTTCTAGAATGTTAGCATCCCTTTTGAGTAGCGGAGGAGCAATGATATTATGCACTTCAAGGAGTGGCCTCACGTATGTCGTATGCAACCTTGGGAATAGTTCAGGAGTAAGAGCTCCCAGCTGCCTATGCATAAAGTGTAAAGTTGAGTAAGCTTTGGCGACGTCCCTCGTGTCATTTCCACTGGTGTCTAGCTTTTTTGTTAAAATAAGGCCTAGGTCGCGTTCTGATGGCACACAACTCAAGTTCTGGCTACCAAGGGTGTAATTTGCACTCTGTGACCTTCCGGAATGAAGTTGCACTACTTTGCACTTCTTTAGGTTGAAATGCATTCCGTTAGCCAGAGCCCAGAGTTTGCAGGTCAGCCTGCAATCTGTCGGAGTCTTTCGATGAGTTTATTGCTCTCCAAATCTTTACGTCGTCGGCGTAAAGAAGCGCAGAGCAGTTCAGTTGACAGGGCAGATAGTTGATAAAAATCAAAAACATCTGACGAATATGTAGTATACAATGTCTTTTAGGTGGGCCTGTGTTAACGTATACGCCTCCCGGCCACTGTTTCTCAGGAAGATGCCGAATCTTTGGTGCATTTTTGCAGAAAAATTTATTCCCTCGACACCAGTATATCTGAAAGACTCGCTGGACAAAAAGTGGTATTTAATGAAAATTGATTCGAGAGCTTAGGTAGATACAAAAGACTAGACTGAACGCGAGAGGACTGAGTAAGGGAAAAGGCTGTGCACACAGAAAACAAAAATAGAGGCAAAAAATAATGAAGTAAAACATGCAGCACAATTGTGAGGTTGGTGAAAATATGTGGGATAGTAGTATGGGAACCAAGAACTAGATGAGGAGATGGTCACAATGGCCACCATTAGTGACAACCACTACGGGAGAGGAAATTAGAAGAGATTGGATTCTCTTTTAAGAAGAATCGGTACAGTGACTTTATGTGACTCTAAATATGGCTGTGCAGATGTTTTCTGAGAGACAGACCCATCACTATGTTGGTGTATCGATGATGAGTTCGTTAATCTTATTTGCTAGATAGCTCCTTTTCTGTTGCCCTTTTATCTTGGTTAATTACGTTTCCTTGCAACATGATTCAGTCTTCTCCACTTTTGAAGGACCTCCACAGCTAGACATCACCCGAATAGGTATGCACCAGGGAAGTGAATGTACTTAAGAGATCATTTACACAAGTTAGGTCAGGCAGTGAGTCAAAACTGCTCTCTGCCGCACCCCAAAATGTACGTTTCTCCAAGCAGACTGTATTCGGTTCACCTTTGTGAGAAATTCTGTATCCCAAGTAGCATGCTCCAGATAAAGCTAACTATCATTTTGGAGACGTCTGATAGTGAGCCTTCCTAAAGTCTTTTACGAGGTCTCTAAGACGTGATTCTGAGAAGCTGGTCAGTAATTCTTCAGCGGCTAGACCTAGCAGGAGTGACCGTTTATATATGCTACAACCCTTCCACTAACCCTTGCTTCTCTATCCTTTCTATAATTTTCTCATCCCATCTAGAGGTCATTCCGTAGGGTTATAGCAACATCCATCGGAAAGATAACTCATGGGTTGAGGCGTAAACACACGGACCTGACTTCCGTGTACCTTGGTTCCGGGGTCCTTCTCACCGCTGTAAGGATATTTGGTCATTTCCCCACAGCGTAGGTCTTTCACTTCTTGATCATGGATGAAATCATGTTGCGTCTAGAGAAATTTTCTGCTCTTCTGCCAAGAGGAAAAGCTTCCCGTGACTCTGCAACCACGCGAGGTGGTGCCTGTAATGTCTCATCTCTCCGCCATTTAACTCCAAATCGGCCGTTTCGCTTGTAAAACGATGCTCGAATTTTATGGGCGTCTGAATGTCACTGGCCTATGTTTAAGTGCACCAGGCGTTGGAAAATGCCGCGAGGGTGGCAGTCTAAAGTTCTAATGGCCGCGAATTCGGTCATCTCAATCTATACGGATAGTCACCGCCACTGCCGCCTGTCCTATAACTATTGATTAGAGAGTAGAGGGTCAACATGTGTTGGCAAGCGAAATATTATCTGCAAATTTCTTCGCCTGTTGGCCCTCTATCCTAATTATTAAGTAGCGTTTTAGCTTACTGTCAAGTATCTAGTTTGCTGTCCCCATCAGTGGCTTTAAGTTGACTGCTGAATATGTCTCGGAACTTAGTCTACCGCCAAGAGTGTTCATTTCTTCTGGAAATTTCAACTGGACAGCCAGGTTATGCGCACCTGATGGTTTGACTGTTTTCGGTCGATCATTGGTAAATACTAATAATAATATATTCTCATTTTTGTACATAAAGTACGCCAGTTTACAGGTATCATCAATATGATAAGTTACACATACGATTAGTAAGCATGTTTAATAATAATAATATGATAAAATACATATATATTCCTACCTATGTGGGAGACACCTGCGGTACAGGCATGGATAAGTATTATTTAAACTACATAAATTTACTTTATGTTGAAATTACATGATCGCCGTCGTTTTTCCTTTGGTTTGTGGGAACAATCTGCTATTTCGCTGTCCCCGATGAGGTCCCGCCGCCTCAACTTGAGTGCTTGGAAGGAATGACCTTCCTTTTGGCAGCTCATTTAGTGCGGCGAAATTTACTCAATGTGTTGGATAGGAGTAACAAAACTACCGGTGGGTCTGAGCAGTGTGAATTCCTAGTAAGTGAGTGGAACGGCTTTGTCACACCTGCAGTGCACCCACTTATTATGGAGGTTGAATTATGAAGCTGCGTTGATTTCATAGAATATGTGTTCGCAGGTTTTGCATTTGTTACCCTGTAGCATCTAAAGCTTTTCATTATTCCTGTGTTTATTGTGCCTACCACTATACCATAACGCTAGGTGAAATATTATTATATTCAGAAGGAGAAGAGCACTGTTTTGCTCCCCATGCGACGCACTGCTGAAACGTGTATACCCTCGTTTTTCCAATGACTTCAACTAGAAGTAACTGTCGTGATTAGTGAAAGACCAGCTACCTAGCTACATCTGAACTTAGCCCACATGACTGCTCTACCCCTCAGTCTGGTTCCTCCAGGTCTGGCAGCCGGTTGCTCTTAACGTCTTTGCAACTAATGATGATAGA